CGCCCCTCCCAAACAGGCGCTCAGCACGTGGGCCCTTTGGTGTGCGGCACCTGTGTAGTGTAATACAGTCAGCAACTGTGTTGTTTATCCCGCATTTGTTTGGTGCGCTTGAAAGCCCGTCTTTGATCCGCGCAAGGATTCTTTACTCCCCTCCCGATTCATCCTTTCGCCTCCATCATTTTTAAACGCTAATGCTGCAGCTACGTTGATGGAAGGAGTGTTGTTGTTTTGTTTTTTTTTTCTGTGTGTGTGTGTGTGTGTGGGGAGGGACGGGGTGGTCTTTTTTTGGTGTATCCAACCCAAGGGACAGAAGACTGACAGTGACCAACGTGGAGCTTGTCAGGTGCCTTGTCGGCGATGTTTTTTTGTAATTGTGCGTTAATGCGTTTGCACCCATGACTGGCGAGAAGCATTTCAAGAAAACAAAGGGATTTAAAAAGAAAAAACAGAAAAAGAAACAGAAAGCTGTGACTCATAGTGACTAATACTGCAAAAACTCAAATCAGGCCACCAAGATGGATCAATAATATCTGTCCACTGAGCTGTCCTTCTCTCAATTGTACCTTTCTGTGTCGGTCTGTCGATATGTCAGTCGCTCACGAGTCGGCTGAGTTTCAAAAATTGCAAACTCTCCCTTAAAAATCTCAATAAGGTATTTTACTGTACAACTTGCTTCAACTGCTTTGTTGTTCCACAGAACAAGTGGGCCAAGAGATTCTCTCCAACCTTCACACCGACCGCGAGAAGATCCAGCGGGCCAGAGAGAGGGTGAGTGTTGCCGGCCGATAAACGCGGACAAACATGGCTTGCGCGCGCGCCGTCATGACACGGCGTCGCCTCGGGCACGTCTGCACTTTAGTGTTTGCGTGTTTCCGTTCGTTATTTATTTGAATGAGTTTGTTTTGTTTGCGTAAACACCGGCGTCCATCAGGTCACATGCGGCGGAATCATCCTCTCACAAGATCCAGTGCGCTGCCTTCACGTAGGGCTGGACCACATGGCCTCAGATTCTAAAAAGAAGTCGGCGTGAGCATAAAATGCCGGCCTTCCGCGAGAAGGAAAGGAAACAAATGGCACGAAGAGCCTACTAGAACATCTGAATTAAAGTGGGGTTGGACCAGAGGCACTTTAGATGGTGGCAGGTGTGTGTTGACTCCCATTTAACTTGAATTTTAAAGCTGCCACATCCCCAGCTATCCTTCGCTTGCCAAACAGAGAGACAGACAAGGCAGGTAGGCAAGAGGAGAGCAAAGACGGGAAGGGCCGCCCCACCCCTGGCGGCCCCCTCAACGCAGACTGCTTAAGGATCACAACAAGGCAGTGGGCCTCGCTCAGGCCTTTTCAAAGGAAATCAAACATCTCCTTTCAAAAATGCTCCACTGTGTCTACTGAGGCTACGTTCTCTCTTTCTTTCTTTTTTTTTGCGCTCTCTCTGTCTCTCTCTCTCTCTCTCTCTCTCTCTCTCTCTCTCTCTCTATACTTTCTTCCCGAGAGTCTTCTTTACTCAACGCCCCCCCACTGCACTCACACAAACACACGCGCGCAACTTTAAAGTCCATTGGCGGGGCAGAAGCAAAGTAAAAAGAAGCCAGGAGATAAATAGACGCGGTTAGAAGAGGTAGTTAACAACCATAGAAATGTTTGATGCATGAAGATTTGTTCAGTTTTGAACCGCCGTGCCTCTGCACACGCCCCTGCCCCCCCCCCCCCCCCCACACCTTTAAAACAACCCACCATATGCACACAGCATCAAGTGCTACAGTATGCTCAGAAGGAGATGCAGCGTTTTGTTTTGCTTTTGTGGTACAAAATAGTTGTCTCACCTCAAGCGAAAGGAAGCCAGCCCCTTACCTTGAAAGAGTCTCCTCTCTATTGAATGCCCGTTTATGATGGCGGCTATATTCTAGAGCAGCGGTACCCAAGTTTGGTCCTCGAGAGCCCCTATCCAGCCTGTTTTCAATGTCTCCGATTGTAGGGGCTCTCGAGGACCGGACATGGGCACACCTACTCCCGACCCACCTGATTTCATTTCATCCTGGTCTTTAATTGTCAATCATCAAAAAAAAAAAATGTAGTCAGCTCGACTTGACGAGTGACGGTTCAGGAACTAACAACAAATCATTAACGTCATCCTCTCCCCCTCCCTGCTTGCATCCTTCCAGCTGCGAGAAACGGACGCCAACTTGGGCAAGAGCTCTCGCATCCTCACCGGCATGTTGAGAAGGTAAGCGGCAGGTACGAAACTCTACCGACGTGCCGTCCAAACAGCTCGCAAACACACAGCGCCGACATCGCATTTGTGCCATAGAGGCTTGGGGGGGAAAAAAAGCGTTGTTCTTTTCCTTGTCGTCACCACCTCCACCAAAAACTCCCATTTCCGTGCTTGTAAAATTTCCTCTTTGAACTTTTGCGACTGTCTCTCGTATGTTCAAACTTAGGCGTCGATCTCATTTTGTGGCGTCCAACTGAAGTAGAGGAATCGCCAGCATACGCACGCCGCAGGGAAAAAGATTGGACTCCGCGTATTTACTAGCCAATGAGACACAATCACTTTCTGCCAGCCAGAAGTGGGCCGACCCTTCACAAACATGATTAAAAGCTCGACAGCATTGGAAGCTCCCTGTTCTGTTCATACATGATGATGCCCGACGAAACCGATGTAAAACTTTGCCTTCGCCTGTGTGTCCTGCTGCTGTCGCCATCAAACACTCAATTCAAACACAAATAATTCAATCCTCGCTGCTGCGCCACCCGTGTCTACACACGCACGCTCAATCACATCTCCATTTCATAAAGTGCCAGCCCCCTGAACCGCGACGCCGCGGTCTTGTTTCCCCGCTCCCTCTTTCTTGTCGCCCCCCCTCCATGGCTGTCGCCCCACTGTGGATTTTGATTAAGAGTAATATGTAAATGACAGCGCCTAAATGTAAAATCGAGGGGCCGGGAAGGAAGTGCCAATTGAAATAGATGCTTCAGTGCCCGTAGACAATTTGGGCTTGCTGGGGGGGCGGGGGCGGGGGTTGGCTACGAGAGAAGACAGGCCGACTGTAACCGATATTTCTGCATATGTCTCCATTTTGTCACGTTTGATTACGGCATGCGAAGGGAGATTGCCAGCGGGGGGGCCTTGGGCGAGGGGCGGTCAGTCACCCAGAACTGTCCAACAATCATTCATCATCCCGTCTCCTGCGCTAAGTAAATAACAGCCTTATTTCAATATTATCATATTAATGTTAAAGTTCAGCTGTCACCTAATGGGAAGACTTAATCAGACGTAGCGTCCCACCAACGTGCGAGCCCCCCCCGCCGAACGCCCAGCTCAAATCAGGATTTATGAGCGCTCCCGCTCTCACCCCCCTTCTGCCGCTTCTCAAAGCACAAATATTTGGATTGAGTTTGAATAAAAGAAAACTTGCCTTTTAAGTTGGAAGAGGCGCATCTCAGAAAAGTACGTCGAGACGGCTCCTCTGCACCCCCCCCTCCTTTTTCCAGCATTTACCCCTTCCCTTTTCATTGATACTGTGGGACTCTTGACTTACAAGTGTAATTTGTTCCTTCAAAATCAACTATGCCCATTGAAATGAATAGAAATGACCTTCATTTCTGACGCCTCCAACACACGTATTTTTTAATAAAAAAGGATTCATTGTGTCAGTGCTCCGCCGCGCTGGCCGCTCTCACAGGTGACATTTTTTGAGCACTTTGAATTCTTCGAACAGCCGATCCTACAAAAGTCTTCAAAGGTATTGAATCTAAAAGCATGAAATGTCTACAATCGATCTTTTGAGTCTTTTCAAATGGTAACGCATGATATGTAGGATTTTCAGCGTGTAAATAGTCGCAATTGTCAAACTAAATTAACGTTCTTAAAAAAAAAAAAAAAAAATTAAAAAAAGACTGAATGACTGTGGTGGTAACACGACGTTTTTGTTGGAAGGCAAAAAAGCCGCCCTGAATGGCATGTTTTCCCTCACGCCTCCTGTTCAAGCGTCGCCTCGGTTGTCCAGTTGTCACCTCAGCTGAGAAACAATTAGACACCCATTAGGCCAGTTGTCAGGGTTCGAGAAAAGCCAATTAGTCTCATCGCTCGTCACCGCGGCTTTGTCAAAAAAGGACCTCCAGGGCATCTACTTTCACTTTGTTTTCAGTTATTTTGGGGTGACCAGAACTAAAATGCAAGGCATCTTTTGTGTTTTTGGTGTTGTCATGGGCACCCGGAACCTGACACGGGCTGATGTGAGCAGTCCACCTCCGAGCAGTGTCCATCCCGTCAGCCCCGTGCTGCATGAATATGGAGCTGTTCTGCGGCCGGGAGCTTGCTTATGTTTTCCGTCTGATATCCAGGCCCCTCCATTCCCATTTCAAAGGGAGGTCCACCCGGGGCCTTGACTTTTTGATCTGCCTGGCGACCGAGTCGACCACCTGCATGTGGGATCAGCTGCCAGCCAGGGTCCGACCGACGGCACTGCTGCTTCACTCCTCCTTGTCTTGCCTGCTTCACTGCCCCCTTTTTACCGTGCCCACTTCTTCCCACTGGTCCCGAACTGGGCCGGGAGCCACGTTTCCAACCCCGACGTTTCCGCTGCTAGTACTGGCAGTTGGGAGGCTCCTGTTAGCCTCGTGTGAAAAGTCTTTTCCGGATCCAGCAATATTATTGCTGTTTATTTCATTTTTATTTTTAACTCACTAAGGCATTGCAATTTTGGAGTTCCGGAAGGATCCAATGGCTGGAGCCAGTCACAAGAAGGTGTCATGCCAGATCACTAATCATAAAACCCCTTCCGGCTCTGCATTCTCTTATGTCTGCTGTTTAGGATCTGAGCAAAACAGGCTAAAATTCCCTTTGTCCCTCTTCTATGGTGTTATTAGGACATACGTTGTAAACGTTCCTCGGCTCGTGGGTCTGTTTTTGTGGAATACGGCTATGTAGGTCACATCACTACTGATGGTGGCATCCCGGGACCCTCTTGAAGCGCACGATCGAATGAAACAATTTGATTTTGGCAATAATTGAAGCTGAAAGATAGAGCGCACTGCTGTTTACGTCTTTCGCCGTCGCCTTTTGTACTCTCCGTTGATTTATTTAGTGTTGATGTCGGGTTTTAGGGGCAGACGAGTGGGGAAAACGTGGAGGGCGGGGGAGTTCCACACAGGACGTCATCTTTTGGGGGAGGCCTTTATTTGTAAAATTGCATTTGATGAATATTTTGAACCCCGGCAGCACCTCAAAAAAGTTTCACAATGAGACTACAATTTGGGAGGTCTTTGTTTGAATTTACGATCATCTCGCGACTAATTAGGACCAAGTACTACATGTCTTCTTTTTTTTTGTTTTGTTTTTTAACCGACAATGCTTTTTTATTTTGTGGTCACTGTTTGGGTTAGCAACATAGTTTAAAAGGGCGCAATCCCTCTTTGAAAAGCACAGTCCGTTGTGGCTGTTCAACTTTACTCGTACATGCTAACGTGAACTCATCATCGCCCGAGCGGCAGGACATTCCCGCCGGATCCCGTTTCCCTGTGATCTCGCCCATAGATTCCATGTAGTACTTTGAAACACGTTTGCCTTTGCTTACGATGCCATATTGTCACATCTCCTGTGGGTCAGTCCTCATCCCGCCGAGCCCGCCGGGGAAGCTTTTCATGTTCAAACGTCTTTATTCTGGCGTCAAGTTGAAAACGGGAATTGTGTCTGACCCTTGCAACTTTTAAGTGCCGAAATGGGCGCAGCTGTGCTCTGTACATGAACGCATGCCATGGATTGGGAGTCTTTGGTTGGGCAAGCAAAGTGCTGAATTTATTGCCGTCGTGGACATGAACAGCAAAAGACCATTCAAGAAGGCACTGCTGTTTTGGTCAGCAACTGAGTTTGAATGGGCTCGGCGGTTTCAGGTTACCTGGCAATTATTTGTGAATATTTCCATTATTTTCTGTACCGGACACTTTTACTTGTCATTTGCGGGTGTTTATTGTTGTTTATTATTACTCATGTGGACGACACACCCAACGGCTAATTGTGACTTATTGTTATTTCCTCTATTTAGAAAGTGGCATTTATTTTTCTTTAACTGATGCACCTTGCAACTAATTCGGACATACCATCTTTTTTCCCCCCCACAATTTGATGGAGGCATTGATTTGTTTCATTTACCTGGTGACGGATTGGGACCCATTCCTTTTTATTTCAACTACAATTAGAGGGAGGCATTTATTTGTCTTTCAACGAAGACCATCTTGCAACTAATTGGGATGTGCGATCTTTTTTTCTTCCCAATAAGTTGATGGAGGCGTTTTTAACATTTATTTACTTGACGACCGCTTCGATTTTTTTTTTCCCTACAATTTGAGGGAGGCATTTATTTGTCTTTAAGTGGCTAGCGCATACGGTGACAGCCGCTATTTGAGGAATTGCTGCGTGTAGGCAAAACAATACTTTGGCGATACTTACACTAGACTAATAACGGGTTGTGTGTTTGTACGGGCCGCCGCTGGGACAATGGCAGCGTTGCTCGCCTCACCCTCATTACTCGCCAAACAAGCGCCACCGCCACCTCCTCTCTCTCTCTCTCGCTTCATCTTTTCTCCTCTCCCGTCTCCCAGCTCGCCCATTAGAGAGTGCTGATGCGGTGCTTTTGGTTTGGCCCCGTTAGAGGAAACTGATGTTGACAAGAGAAAGAATGGTGACATTTTTTTTTTTTTCGAGGCCCCATCAGGATCCACTGAGGTTATCTTCTGTTCTTCAGACCCTGTGTGGTGGCTTGAAAAATGTGCGGTGCTGCTGTTTTGGTGCGCAATAGAGGGTGCTTGTGTAAACAATCGCCTCTATGAACTGAAGGGAGGCATTTTTTTTGACTAATGCAGATAAAAAGTATACATTATGTGATTTTAAATATATACAATTTGAGGAGGTGTTATCTTTAGGCACCTGCCGACTAAATACCGACAATTTGTATTCCTCATTTTTTTCAATTAATTGAGACATCCATCCATTATCTGAAGCCGCTTATCCTCAGGAAGGTCACGGGCGTGCTGGAGCCTATCCCAGCTCTCTTCGGGCAGGGTACACCCTGAACTGGTCGGCAGCCACTCGCAGGGCAACTAATTGAAACAGATTTTTAAAAATTCTTTACAACCTGAGTAGGGCGTTTAGGAACTGCTCGGAAAGCTATAACAGGAAAACGTCGATTCCCACTCTGTGTCCTTTAGCTCCAGCCGTCACTCCAA